ATAACTATTAAAAGAAACATTTAAGGATTTTAAGCACGATCGTACGTGTGAATATATCGAATACGATAAAAAAAAAGCCAAGAACAATCAAATTTTTATGTTCCAAATAATACATTATATATTCTTATATTAAATTAATTTATTTCAGATATGATTAAGAGTAGAAATATGATTTTTCTGCTCTCAATCATTGATGTATTAAAAGAAAATCTAAAAGATATCCAAGCGTCTTATTTAACTCAACCACTTAACTTGAAGTTTAAACGAATCTCATAAGTGCGACATGTTTAATATGTAATCTGTCATCTGTCGTCTGATAATACACGTTTGATATGTGATTAATATTTCATTATCCTGAATGATCTGTGAGAAGTCAAATTAAAATGTACGTTACAATTGAAGATGTGAGACACACGCAAAAGATGCATATTGTTGTCCGCAGATAAGTTCCACGTCTCGGAGACTCTTATAAATGATTAATGAATGTAATACCTGGTTATGTGATTAAATGAGACACATGCTTTGCTCGATAAACGAGATGAAATTTAGCTTCCTTTCAGAACTCCATCATAGAAGCTTTTAGTACCTCTTCGCCTTTCGCTGCATCAATTCAGCTTGACGCGATATTCCGATAAAGGATGACTTCATTCCCTCGCAATACGTCGTGACCGTTAATTGCTTAATTTCAGATTTTTCGTTGACTTCGTTTCACTCGACTGATTAAACCCGATAATGAAATCTATAACCAGTAAATTCCGAAATATCGTGCCGCCCTCGCGTTTGCTTGATAATCGATTTTGTAGATTGACGAATAATTCCGAATATCTCTACCTTTCCGAATTCACGTCAATCTATGAGATAAAAATATATTGAAACTCTTGTGGATATTAACGTTTTATTTTATATCTATACTCTAATCTGTAGAAGAGTTATATATTCGATGATTTAAGTTAATTCAGAAATTTTTTTATATCTAAAAAGAAAGTATAATCTGTACATATCACACCAAAATATATATCATTAATTTTCTTAAATTTTTACTAGAGCTAAATAAAAGAAGAAAGAGTTTTTTAATTTTATTTTAATAAAAATGTCATTTAGAAAAAAATTTTAACAAAGATTTATATCCTATATAAAAACTCGTTGATCTAAGACTTTAAGCCATATTTATTTTAGTCATCTTTTTCCTGCCAAAAAAAACAAGACGAACGTTCCTGATTGATCTCCAATTTATTTGTCGCGGATATGGCCTCTATTTTGACGTCAGCGTGGTCCCCAGGTTCAATAAATAATCTTCTCTGCCAAGTTATAGAGAGATTGCTGAGTGATCTGGATGAATCCTGGATTAAAGAGCAGAGAGAAAATATACCAGGTGCCGTCCATGGTCGTGCAAAAGTCCAGCGAAATATCGCCCCGAGAGTCTCGTAAAAATTAAGCTCTCCGGGGTGTCGTCGCCCGTCGTCGCGGATCGTCGCAGATCGGATGATGCACGACATGCTATGATCCCCGTTTAATTTGCCGGACACGTAGCTCTTCGAAGTAAATTGGACTAAATTATCGACGATGTCATTAAACGTTACGCGAACATTACCATATTCACCGCATCGTCATCTAAATGCGACGTTTAGTTGTTATTACATGTCAGTAACAGTATTACGCATAATTTCAAAAGGACGACGTTGATCCTTCCTTTAACCGCATTCGATTAAATATAAAATATTAATGTAATAACATCCTCTAACGTTATAATTTTTTATTATATTAATATCAATCAGGATTCTCTAACAATATTAAGCGTAATTTAATTTTAATTACATTTTTTAATTTTACGAAGACTCTTTGATGAAGCATTGGGAAATTTGAGATTATTCACATAAAGTGGTATAATTACGAAATGTAGATTCAAGTCGCGTTTCAAGCAATTCGGTACGAATTCTGATATATTGCGTATAGAATAATTTACCGTAATTTACGTAATTTATTTCTACCTTTCGTATTATGAAATGTATAATTATGAAATTTGTACAAATATACGTCGATGGGGGATATCTAAAATTACGATTTCATAAATAACGAGCGTGATTCTAAAGGAAATGACGCACTTGAAGAAAATGAATTGGAAACGAATAGCAACATCGAGGAAAGCAATTCGCACGCTCTCGCGCATCGACTTTGATGCGGATTTAATTAATCTACGCCCGAAGCTTAGTCCGTGCGCGCGCAGCGTCAAACGAGCTTAACACAAGGGGCTTTCTGCGAGGCGTTTTCCATGCGAAAATCCTACAGTGATATCTCTTCAGCGTACCCTTTCTATTCCAAACCTCTCCCAAGGCTGTCTGAAAAGGAAAAAAAATATTAAAAAAAAATGAGAGAAGATAGGGAGATCAAAAAGAGGAGCGGAGCAACCAGGAAACCAGAGTGAAATGCCACGGCGTAGAAAATAAAAGGACGAGACGAGAGGGTGCATCAAAATAGAGAAGATAAAAAAAAGGGAAGAAAGAGACGGCGCGGGCGTCGATTGATTGGCACGCTGACGTGCGTGGCCACGATGGATGACGCTTTATTTTCCACGGGTACACCCCGATTATAGATTGAAAAGCGACCATAAATCCTCGTGAATACTTTACAGGTATGTTCCGGCAGGTGGAACGGCGGTTAGAGGGAGAAAATTTCATCGCGATGTTGCGCCATCACGAGAGAGGAAGGAGATAGCTGGAAAGATGGGAGAGGCAAAGGGGATACAGCCGGAAGATGGGGGCAAAAAAAGAGAAAGGCTCGCTCTTGGCCCAGAGCGGCAGAGGTGTTGGCGGGAGGATGTTACGGTGGATGCCCCAAAATTGAATTTGCCGGAACGCGGGAACGTTTGATTAAGTGCCTCCGTCGAGCAACCATGCGTTATTATACATACATCCGATAACGCTGTCCATCTCGATTTTTGATCGCTCGCCGCGATGATCTATCTGACAATCCCGCTGGTCGTAGCTGTTACTTAAGAAAACTCTTAGAATTCACTTAATTCTACCTCCCGCACGATCGCGTTTTCCTTTAACGCTGGATTTTCCTTAATGCGATACGAAGATCTCCCGAGCTATTTCGGGGATTTTTGTCGAAATGCGCATACACAGCTGGTAGCATTTCGTGTGTTTCGACGTAACACCGCAATGGTCCTCGCTAAGCTCTCAACAAGCTGCGAGCAACGCGAAAAGACAGAAATTTCTTATGAATGAATAGACAAGACAATTATCCAATCGATACATTTATGCCCGTTTCTACCAATATTAAATTAACTTCTTACTTTTCATCTTTTTCTTGTTCTAAGAATTAGAAAAGGATAAAGAGCAAATAAAACCGAGATTAAAGCTAATTGACATTGGTAGAAATTGATATTAATCGTACATATTATATATTACTAACTGAAGAAGACTGTGTAGTCGAAACGTATTATGTATGAGAATTGAGTGATTTTTTTACCTCAAATATATATTTTTATTATAATCTAACTTTCTTGCTCGTTTTGGTCGTTTTCTATTGTTTGCTTTGTCAAATTATCGAGCGTTTTATGTTATTGTTATTGTTATTCGACGATAGATTAACGCCGCTTATGACTTGTCGGTGCTGAGATCGCACAAATTGCGCAAGAATTTCTTGTTTAAACAATTTTTCGGGCTCGAGTCGGTCCTAGGATTGCTTGTAAAAAAAAAGAACGATGCGAAATACTACCTACCGTGAAATCCGCGTTGAATATTTCACGGTTCGATAGATATACGCATATTTCTCTTTCTAGCGAATATCGTGCGGCAAACCGGGAGATGTTTCGAGGGAGAAAAGGCCGTGTCGGAGTGGCTGGTGTACACTCTCGTATAGGTATACGTATCGCTAAACGCAGGACTCGTAGTGTCGAGTAAACCCGGAGATCCTTCAGCCGATATATCGAGCAGCAATATTCTACCTAGTCGCGAACAGCATATTTCGAAAACATTGAAGCACTGCTTTTTAAATTAAAAGAATCGATAAAACATCGATATATACATCATAACGGTTGCCGAAGATTACTCAGGATGGACAAACAGAAGCCGAGGCGTTTTACCTGAGGCCGTATAATTTACGAAAAAACGTTAACAGAGCGGACGAGGTAAAGGGGAAACTGAGGGAAACGCGATTTGTAGCGATTTAGGAGAATAGAGAAGAACGAGAAGAGAGAGCGAGTGCCACCAACATCATTGATAAAACACCGGATACATTCGACGTATGCGCGTAACTTCCAAAATAATGAAAAAAGCAAGAGAAATATCCTAGCCGGTTTATCCGACTTCGCTTCGATTTCACGAGAGCGAATATTCCGCGAAAAAATATCGCTGCGTTTAATCCGCGAACGATCATAGCTACACACCGGTATAGCTGATACCGAGCACGTATTCCGTTGCAGGTATACGTTGAATTTGTTCCATATATAAAGAAGAAAAGCAGGAGGTCAGTTACGGCTAAATGCATAACTCAAGTGACATAAATATCTTTGATATCCATGCGGTGTCCAAACTTGCTGCTCTCGTGAAATCTTAATAAGGTTACGTACGACTCATAAAGGTAATCCGGAAACGTTACATTATACACTTGAACAGTGTTATAAATAATATATTGAGCCACCAAATAACAAACGAATTTCTCAAAAAGTTAGCTCACTGATTCGACATTTTTCAGTTATATTCCTTTATGATATAATTATTGTATATAAAATTAAAATTATTTTTGTTTTATTATCTATTATTTATATGTTATTAATTTTCAATTACTTTGTATTATCCTAAGATGATCTTTCCTAATATAATAACGGAAAAACAAAGGAAAGAATAACATTTAATAAAATTTAATTTTTTATGTAGCTATATATATTAAAAACAAATTATAATTTTTTTAATATCTTATTTTTGCACAACGCTGCTAATTTCATTTTTTTTTCCTTTTGGAATTAGCATTTATACAAATTTTCCCTTCTATTGCAGTTCCACCAGAGCAGCCAACCATTTTGGATCGATGGGGCCGCATCTTGAACGGCACAGCTGGCCCTTATGAGGAAGGCGATACACCCTATCTCACGTGTCGCGTCACGGGTGGTAAGCTAGCAGAAAATACAGTAATATAATATGTATACGCTGAGAAATGTTTATCTGCCTTCACTAACCGTATGTTGTGACACATCTACACTTGTCTATATATACAAGATGTTCCAGTAAGTGATTTTTATATATTTCATTTTCGATTAACTTAAAATTGACTTTTCTTGAAAAATAAAAAAGAAAGCAATTAGTTTTTAAATTATGAGTGACAAGTTTGTGCGACTGACGTTTGATATAGGTACCCGCTGAAAGAGATAATATACGCGATTCCGAGGAAACCTTCCGAGAATAAATCAGCAAGTTTTCCACCCCCGCACGCTCCATCTCTTTTCCTCCTCTCTTTCTTTTTGACATCATTGGGAATAAAATTCTTCCCCGTTCCATCCCGAAAATTCACGGTGAAGTAAGATCTCTCCTTTTTCCGTCGAATCTTACCTAGGTCACACGCGGCGCATTTTTGAGAGTCGTCACTCGCGACAACCTCACCGCGAAATCGTTTGGGAAACTTCGATCGTGGTCGGAGTCGCTGGTGTGTCGCCGGTTATTAGATCAGCCAACTTTTTATCGGCGAGCGTGGCTAAGTGAAAAGTTCAGTGAAACGCGAGGATGGCCGTTTTCCCCCCCCCCCCCCCCCCTCTCTCTCTCTCTTTCTATCCTCATAGTCGAATGCGGAAAGTCTCCGGGGTTATCTAAACTGGTGCGTAGTGGATCGAGCACGAACGAGAACGATGAAAAAGGAATGGAACGGGACAGAGAGGACCCGACCGGTGCTTTCTGCTGTTTACTTTAGCAACTGGATCTAAATTTCTGTTTATAACTGCGACAACTTCTTCGGCCGCCTTAAAAGATTATTTCCTGCCCCTACTTCGTGGGGTTCAACCTGGTTGCCGCCCGTCCTCGATGCCTGTCGTTCTGTCTCATGGAAACGTTTTCGAGCTTTTGCCGTGATTAAGCACTGTGCATCTCCTACTTTCCTTCCCAGGCTCAGAATATACCGAGAATGAAACGTCGTTAAAGATCTTAAGTCGCGTCGCGGCAAAATTCGGCAAACTCGAGTCGCGCCGAGTGCAGTCATCTGCTGTTTGAATATTCATTACCGCCGTCGTGCGTCTCTCTTCTTCCTTTCTTCCTCTTTTCTCTTTCACTCTCTTCTTTCTATTTATCATTATTTAATTATTTTCATCAAAACGCGACATACTTTTCAGATAAACACCGGATTTATGAAAATGTCTGGATTTCAGTTTACACTTAACAAATTAGATTCGCAAATTAATTAAAATCAAAAACTATCATGAAATGTCACATTTACATCATTTATTCATATTGCAATTATTTATCCCGCAATTATTATGAGTGAAACTTTAATTATACTTTAATTACTTTCAGTTACGTTGATTTAGCTTATTCTTTGATTGTTTCCAATATGTTTATTATGGCTTACTGTGTTAGTTGTCGTGACGATACTGAATCTCTTTTCACGGAATGGCACAAATATGTTGAACCGATGTAATCTGTCAACGGCAAATTCCTATCGAAACATCCGTTCAGTGGTGAACAGCGTTGTATCACGATATATTGTCCATCCTCCTCGTTTTACTAAAAGCGGAAATAAAATAAAAAAGAAGAGCAAAAAGAGGGAAGATATTACGCTTCGTTACCGCGAGAGGAGATGAATCTCGATATTAGAATCGCCCCGTCCTCGAGCGATCGTATTAGTAATCGTTACCAAATACAGGCAGTGGATAACGGCGTATTCGGTTGCCCTTGTTCAGCGAATCCCGCATTTTGGTGGATATATATATAGTATACATATATATAATATATATATATATAGTATTATACATATAGATATGTGTGTGTGTGTAGATATATCGAAATATACAAAGCCGAGAGAATATTGCCGTATGCAGATTCGATGGGAATTGCATTCACGCTGCGCATCGATCAAACGCATTGCGGCGTATAAATTGAATATCGAGAAGATCGGCTTATCCTTAACAATACATTCGACGTCGCGCCCTCGAAGATTCCTCCCGCCGGACGCGAATCCGGCGTTTTAATTTAATTGTAAATAACGCTTACGAAGAAGAAGTGAAATCGAACTCTCTCGCGATCAGTATTATGGGTAGCAAAGTGAGAGCGAGGATATTTTTTCTCTTTTTTTCTTCGTCTTTTTTCCTTTTTATTTTTAATCGTTTGAAACTCGTGGCGAATTTTGATCCGATTCATGGCTGCGACATATAAAGCACGCGAGGCGAGTATAATACGAGCATTAAATGTCAAGCGATCTTTTGCCAGTTGGAGAACAAAGCGCGGATGGCAGAGAGAGATAAAGAGAGACAGAGTGAGGGGGGGGGAGGGGCAGGAAGAGAGGTCGTGTTTTTATTTAAAATTAAAAACTCGCTTGTTAAAACGATCGGACGACGTTCCCGGTTGTAAGTGACAGGCTGACACGTGACATTCCGGCAACCTTTTTTGCGCGAGCGAACGTGCGTAATTCGCGTAGTTATCAAAACGCCGAAAACAGAGATACCATAATCGACGAGCGCGTTCGCTTACGTATCTCCACTCTCCTCTCATAATGACGAGTTACATTTCTACCGAATTTTCGAAAATTACAATATCGTTGTAATCGAGCCTGCCCGCGGGGCGATCGCTGTTCCGCTGCTCATTATCTTTATAACACGCAGTTACCTATATCTATCCGTGCTAGAAAATTGTCTGGGATTTGTGCGACACGCGCGTACGGGTTACGCCCCGGTCTCGGATCTAATCTTCATAAAACGAGGTGCGCGGTGCCTGGGGCTACAGCACGACGCGAGATCTGAAAACGGAAGCTGCACGAATATCTCTCTCTTGCCTAATTCGGTTGCTCTCGGCGCCGTCTTGTAAAAACAACGCCATGTGCCGCGTAATTAAGCGGCGCGCGATGTTAACGTTGATGTAATAAAAATGGGAATTTAATATCGCGCTCATCATTTTCGAGTTTGCTGCCGTGGTATTGTCTAAACGGAGATCGATCGGTAATGCTACCGCTGCGTGTAAATAAGTTCTCGAGTAAGTCACGCGAATATCTACGCGCAAATGAACGTGTACGTTATTAGAAAAATATTAACGCAAGATATTACTGTAATGTTTGTTCTTTTAATTTACCAAAGTTAATTACGCGGCTGAATTCAAATATCGGACAAGACTTTTTTGTGTAGGTAAATACAGATATTGATAAACGTACTCGGAGAGAATTTTTTCTTAGAATTTACCTTGAAAATATGACGGTCGTGGGACAACATTTTGAAGAATTTTAATGTAAATCTCTCTCATTCATGAATAAAACTACAATAACGTATAAAATAAATTTGATCAATTTTACTGAAGTGCATGGTAAAAAATCTTTAAAATATTGTATTGTACCACTACCATATTTTCAGGGTAAATTTTAAAAGAAAATTCTCTCCATATGTAGTGTTCCTAGAAGACAGTTCTAAAAGACAAGCCATCGTCTAGACCCTTTTTGATTGGCGTACTCGCACAATGGCGGTACCAATCAAAGCAGGAACGTACATACATTCATGACACAAGGCACAATACATATCACACACGTGATACATTTTACATACATTTATATACGCCATTTTGTGTGTATGGCTAGACTCCTTCTAGGGATAGGTGTATTTACTAGGAAGATGTATTTACATTGAATGACAGATGGGGGTGTCTGCTCATATCCTACATATTTGTAGCTTTGACTGTTGTTTCTGTAGTCGTTGTTGCGATATCTGAACAAATAGTACCGCGTGTCATTGTCCAAGTTCATACGTTGATCAAGTTTCTTGCGAACAAAAATGTTAAGCTATCGAAATTGTGTGTAAACCGTGTTTACAGTTCGGAGAAAAAACGTTATTGAAGGTGTGTAGGTGCGCACTGGGTATTATTTGTTCGGACATCGCAACGACTACAGAAATAACTACCGCGAGGCCACAACTAGGGCGTGAGCAGACACTCCCACCTGTCACTCAGTATAAATACGTCTACCAATATTGATTTGTATTCACACAAAAAAAGTCTCGTCCATTTAAACCATCCGTGTAGAAGTAAGTAGCGCCTTCGTTATATAGTACCTTGGTTACAGCCTTTCCCTATAAATTCTGTTCATAGTCAAATAAATGTGTATATAGTATATGCAATATCAAAAGAAATCACGTAACTAACAGAGCAGTTATATATTGTCTCGAGCACTCTATTACATGCAATTTACAAGCAAGCCTAAGCCTTTTTCACGCGGGGAATGTATTCGCGTTATCTATAATTTATGACAATGCTAGTGAGAAAATTTTACGACTCGTCCCGCGCCCGGAATTTATTGCCAATTACTCGACTTCGTGCCCAGAATTGAGGGTCCTTTCACGCGAGGAAGTATATACGCAAGAGAGTAAAAGGGAAGTCGTTCGCCCTTCTTTACACCACATCCGCCAGTCGGATGGACGCAAAGATTCACCTTTTCGGCCCGCATAAATTCTCATATCGCGGGTGATTACCGGACGACAGTGGCGTTTAAATTTAAGGGTACAACCTCGATGACAGGTTTGCGTCTTCGCTCCACCGGTGCTTTAAGATATTCCGGTCATACCTCAAAAACCGTCCGTCGAAGATGAAGAAATGATTATCACTGAGTGAAGGAGGGAATAGCATCGAAGGTGCGGTTACAGAGTAGCGACTTGCTCTCGTCGTTCCGTCAATCTTGCCAAAGAAAGAGAGAAAAAGAGAGACGCAAGCCGAGGGAAAATAATTTTTCCACCGATGAGACCCGCGGGAGAAACAGCTCTTTGGAATATATGACGTTTCTCGGAACGTTCGTTAATTCCAGCAACCTGGCGACATGCGTGACGAAAATTGAGATATCGAATTTGATTTCCGATTCGGATTGAGGGAAAGTTCCATGATTTTTTACCGATGCATACAATTAAATGCAAATTTTACGCTGCCAAATACAATTCCCC